AGAATCAAGCATGTGTCTAATTGTTCACCTCTATGTCCTCATTCCAAGGGCAGTGCTTGATATAGACTAGGCATGAAATACATGTTTATTGACATTGAACCAGATGAACTAATGTAGCCGGTCACAGGTATGGCCCTCTCTGGAAATCAGATCTCCAACCAACAACCGTAAGCACCAACACTTTGTGAAAATTTAGCTTTGTGGCTGGGTTTCCTTAGGAGGACAACTCTCCTTTAGTTTATTGAATGCAAATTAGTACAGCAGAGCTTCTCTGGAATCCTCCAAGTGCTAAGCAATGAATCAAACATTTGGCATCAGCCAAGCACCTCTGCCCTTCCATGTCTACCCTTTACGTGCTCACTAATGATGAACTGTTTCACAGAAGAGGCTATTAGTCTATGGGCTACAAGAAGGTTCTGAACTCTTTTTTATTTTTTTTTTATTTTTTTATTTTTTATTTATTTGACAGAGAGAGATCACAAGTAGACAGAGAGGCAGGCAGAGAGAGAGAGAGGAGGAAGCAGGCTTCCTGCCGAGCAGAGAGCCCGATGTGGGACTCGATCCCAGGACCCTGAGATCATGACCTGAGCCGAAGGCAGCGGCTTAACCCACTGAGCCACCCAGGCGCCCCATGAACTCTTTTTTAAATTACTAGGCTTGAATTGAGATGCTATCATTTTCTTCCAAAACTTATTTATTGATTGACTTTAAAGTTGTTATTTCATTCTTTTTTTTAATTTTTTTTTAAATTTATTTTCAGCATAACAGTATTCATTGTTTTTGTACCACACCCAGTGCTCCATGCAGTCCTTGCCCTCTCTAATACCCACCACCTGGTTCCCCCAAACTCCCACCCCCCCACCTCTTCAAACCCTTCAGATTGTTTTTCAGAGTCCATAGTCTCTCATTGTTCACCTCCCCTTCCAATTTCCCCCAACTCCCTTCTCCTAACTCCCCATGTCCTCCATGTTGTTATGCTCCACAAATAAGTGAAACCATATGATAATTGACTCTCTCTGCTTG